CCCCTAACCTTGCAATATGACGTCTTAATCAGCTGCGCAATGAGTAAGAGAGCCTTGGCTAGCACACACTGGAAACGAGAATCAACAACTGAATATGCTTTGGAAACAATCTGAAACTGACTGCACACAAGTTTTATTCAGTTCTTATCAGCATTGATAGGCTATCACTACTCACCATCAAGAGATGAACACCCTTAACAGATCAAGTAATACCTACTCGAGTATCAACAACTCATTCCAGAAATACACATGGAAAAAGGTACTGACAGCAACAGCATTATTACTTGTACCAAGCAGTTAGACAATCCCAGTTCCCCCTTGGAAAACCCTTTGCTGTAAAACCAAAATGATTTCTAATACACAAGAAAGGCAGACCTAACAAAATCTCTGGGGTTATGCATTAACCTCACTAACTTTGTCCCTATTTCTTACCCCTCCTCCCCAGTCACAGTGCTGGCATCATGCACACGCACTGCAACACCATGACCTCTGTTCTCCAGCTCTGGGACACCACAAACCAAATGAAAATGTCAAGAAAGAGGTGCAGGGGTTCAAAGCAGTCAGGAGCGAACATACCTGGAGTACTAACGCACAAGGGTGCCTCACCAAAAAGTGTATTTTCCTTCTCCTATCACAAGATGTGTTGCAGCTGCTCTGGAACACATGACTTAATGTACTAAGGATTTTCAGAAAGCAGGAAAAAAAAAAAACAAAAAACACACCAGAAAAAGAGGTGGGAGCTAACTTGCAAGAGAATCAGACACTTCTGAAAGATTAAAACCTTCCACGATAAAGTCTTAAAAACCTCCCATAATTCAACTTCTACAGTTGCTTGCCTATCTAAGGGCACCTGTACACAAAAAAGCAAACTAAACCCAAAAAGTGGATGGTAAAGCCAGTGGCAAAAATCTTGAACATGATATGTAATCCATGTCAACAAAAACACAGAGCAACTGGAAAAAAACTCCCTTCTCAGGACCAAGACAACTAAGCTAGAGGGGAAAAAAAACAGGAGATACATAACACAAGTCTGAAAATCAAAAAATCACATGGAAGAACATGATGGTTGCGTGTAATACAAGAAGTAGGATTTATTCAAAGAAACTAGATGGTGGTAAATTCAGATAAAAGGTAGTTTGTAACAGCATATAATTAAATTTCTGAATTTCATATCAGATGGAGCTGTGGGTGATAGAAGTTGACATGGCTAGAGAAAGCAATTGGATAAATGCATGTAAGAAAAATCCAGCAAGAAGTATTAAATATGATAGCACTGTCTCTATGATGCTCTGTAACTCCTCACTTGGATCTCCCATTATGACAGTGTAAGAGAAAAGGCCCCTGCCACAGACTGAAGGAAGCGGGGAGGGCGGAACAGGCAGCTGGGAGCAAAGCTTGTCCTGGTTTTTCTTCTTCCTACATGGCCACTGGCAGCAGGAGGTGACATCTGACTCAGCCCAACTGTACTTACGACCTGTTCAGAAACCCACCACAGGTGTGATCACACTGACGTTGACTTTTACACTCTCACCATGAAACATGGTGCAGACACAAGAGGCTATGAATTAACAACATTGCAACAGCAGCTCACCACTAATCCTTTAACTTGCCTAAATGGGAGCAAGGTTTTAAAATACTATTCTAATTCAGTTCTATAATTTTACTGGATAAACTTTTAAAACCAAAACCAGCTAAACCATTTCTAGCTGTTTTGTAAAAATGTACAGGTAACAACTACTAATTTAATCTACTAGCAAACTAGTTTACTGACCAACACTTCAAAATAATTACTACAAGTGGGGATTAAGTATGAGAAAAGGATTGTTCCTTCTGAATCAGATGTTCCGTTAGTTATGTAATCTACTGCAGAACGGTACCTTTTCACCTCCTCCTGCCTAAACCACAGTGCAGCACTGCTTAAAGTACAGACACTGGCCTGGCTCCTTATCCACCCATGGTACTGCACCTCTCTGCACACTGCTTTGCCATTCAATTAATGAAAACATGCACTACACTACATTCCAGTTACGGTGTACAATTTTCTTGAATGCTTAAGTTGACATCTCAAAAATGCTACAGATGCTATTGTGGAAAGTAGACTATGATTGATTACCAGAACAAAACACACCTTAAAGTTTAACAACTTTAACTTCATTCTCCCCCAAAGTACACAAGGTAATTTCCAACTAGCCAGGCAAGGCACTTTAACAGACTGACTGGCAGACTACCTGCTATTTCTCTATTTTTCCTCTTTGACATGCTTATAAAACAAGCTATGTAAACAAAGGGAAAAAAAAAAGTGAAACTGTTACATAGGCCAACTCTTCAACTAACTGCAAACCCCCTTGATCAGATACTACACTAGCAGAACAGAACCACATAAAGAAAAAGAAAGCACTTTTATAACGCCATCTTCTTAAACCTGATTCGTGTTTTGGAATGTAATTATACCAAATTCTAGAAAATTCTGTGCTTTTTCCCTACTGCAGTATCAGCATTGCCACTTACAACCAAGGTTTTTATTTGCTTTAAATGATATTTGTTGCTTTTCCTAATACACCACCCTCCTCAGGGCATACAGTTCCATGAGAATACATGCTTTTGTTCCAGAAGCTGAGGAGATGAGTCTCTATTCCTCTGGGCACCAGAGGAAACTTTAAAAACAAACTCCACAGGTTAAAAGTTTATTCCAATGTAAATTCTAATTTAAAAAAAAAAATAAACAAAACCCTACTCATTTTGCAACCTGACTCATATTATTTCCACGTCTGGAACTACCTCTCCTGACCTTCACTGCACAGAAATACAAGTTAGACAATAAAGTATTTCACTACTTTGGAATTTCAGTTTTTAGTAAACTACTCCTCAAAGTGACTATGTTTAGGAATCAAAAGCTTAATACAACTATTCGCAGTTTTCAAGGATTATTAAAGCCAGTAACTGCTTGTGCTAATATAACTTAATTCCAAAAGAACTCCTTGAAAACTCCAGCAATTAAAGAAGCATAATAAACATTCAGCCACTCAGATTTAACTCTGTTCCTGTGAGCAAAAGCAGTTTCAGACAACTATTAAGGATATTAGAAATACAATACTCAAACTGTACGTGCAAGGGAGTACAAGTCAGCCTTAATATAATTAAAAGAGTTGGAATTTGGCCAGAAACTTAGGTTATGACAAATCCAAAGCCAGCCTATCCAACAGTACAATGTGTACTTGTTTATACACTTTTCTACTGCACCATTTGATGGCAGAAACAAAAAAAATGTGTTTAGCTCCACGTTTAACTTTAAACAGGAAGAGTTTCATTTAAGTCATTTTAAATAAGTCACTTCTAAACTCCCCCCCACCCTCATACAGACTGATGCTCACAAAAAGGAAAATATTTTGTCAGAGCTACTCTGTGGCTGTACAAAACAGGGAATCTTATATAAAATAATTCAAAATAACACCTTAGAATGACATGGAAGTGGAAAATTTAATTCTGTGGTCAGTCACGCTTTTTTAATCTGCTTCTATATAACCTGGGGCAATTTACTGCAAATGTCACAAAAGCCACCAAATGCTGATTTCAAAGATAGTGCAAACAAGGGAAATGATGCAAACGTGGGATAAATATAAGTCAGTTGAGAAACAAACCCAGTCAGCACTATTTTGTGTACTTCAGTTTCACAAATAATGAACGAACCACACTGCAAAAAGCTACTGCACAGAAGTTGTTTTCTATATCTGCTCATGCACATGTCCCACAGTAAAGGCAAGATGTGTTACATTTTGAGAAAACCAATCTCATACTGCCTTGCATTTTCTGTGGAATGTCTCAGAGAAGAACATGCAGTCACTTCCCTGTGAGTCAAAGACCTTGGATGAGTATCAACTGCAACATAACCAATGAGATGCCAAGTGGTAAGCAGAAATTTTGCAAGCATAAAAATATCACTGTATTTCAAACACAGAGCAATCTTAGCAATGTATTTTAAGGTATTTATGCCTCAAGCAGAATCTGTATTATTTTGTTTCATGAAGAGTGTCAGTTTTATGTCTTACCAACTTAGACAACATGTTAGCCATAGCTTCCTAAGTTAGCACATATGTAAATTCAGATTTGTTAACATATGATCTGAATGCTAAGAAAAAAATGCAGTATATCATTGTTTTAAATTCAAAAATACCCTTAGAAACAGAAAGCTAAATTTATTACTGTGATGTACAGTTTGCAGTCCAAGTAATCTTGAGAATAGTAGATTGCTCCTTTGGTATCTGAAAAAGGCTTTTAGAAATCCTCATTGATCCAAGTGTCATTTACCAAAGATTATTTGTTACTTAAAACACAGAATTCATGAATATACTACATTTTTATAAATATGTAATTACGAACAATAATAAAAACATTGCTTTTCTCATCCACAAGCTGAAAAGGTTATTCTGCATAGGTTTAAAGACACTTACAAATTCCAAAATTATATAACAGCTGCATATTCAGTAAGAGAAAATGAATAAAGATGGCCTAGCTAGATTACCTACTGGAAATTCTATTAATATTTTCCTTTATTTTAAAGGAAGACTACAACACATGCTACAGGAGTGGGTTCTGCACACAGGTAAAGGTCTGACTACCTCACAAAAATATAATTATTAATAGTCTTCCGAAAGGTGTCATAAATGTTACAAAACTCACAATGGTTTCATTTCAATGAAACTCACAATAAAACCAAGACACTATTCCACACATACTAAAGCATCACATAGGCAAAATTGCCTATGTATTTATTTATTGTTTCACGCAGGTTAGAACAGTTTTCTACAGACACAAATATCAATAGATTTTCCTACTTAGAAGTTATATTCCCTCAAGGAGCATGCAAAGATTAAAATATACCAAAATCAATAATCACAGTAAAACAGGGAAAACTAAGTACATTTACCAATTTTATTATAACAAACAAAAAGTTTAAATATATCCTTGTTGAGGTATCTGTCAAATTCCTGATTTATGCCTACCTGGCAAAAGTACTGGTTCCAGTTTTTTAATCCTTGGTTCTGAAGCTATGTGGTCTTCAGCCTGAAGAAAAAAAAAAAAAAAAAAAAGGAATTTACTTAAGAATCAGAACTTTACAGTCAGACACAAGCCAGACCTATTCAGGCAAAGGAGAAAGTTCTCCGTTTAAAATAAAAAGCTGATCTTAAAGAGCTAGGATCCAATCATAGCAATCATTTTCTGTAAAAATTTTAATGGGTTCGTGTACATTTAGCTTTATACCACAAGAATACTACAGCATTTAAAGTGCTAATGTTTAACTAATTGGGCAACCTAGGTTATAAAAGGTCCCAGGATGAACAAAAAACAATTTGTCTTGACATTCCATAAAGGCTCAAGTCCTACAACAAGCTTTATACAGATATGGACACTCAAGTTTGCACAAAGCTCTCTATCAACTTTTAACATGCATGGCCTTGACATAGGAAATACTTCCAAAAAACCATGGCCTAGAACACATACGTGCCTACTTCCATTTTTATTCCAACATTAGAACAATACTTCTATAAGAAGACTGGAACCTTCAGTGAAACAACCTTAATGTTCCTATGCTGACAGTGATACCACCATTTCCAAAGACTAGGCACATCTAGAACTATGCTGCATCAACATTTCATTGCTACCAAGAAACTGTGAAAAAGCAAAAAGGAGTCAACATGTCAAACACGTTGCTAGAAGAGGTCCTGCCTTGTCTAAAAGAAATCAAAACCACATTCCGTCAAGTGCACACCCAGACCACACAAAAATTCCTGGTAGCTCTACTAGATATACTGGGTCCTATACGGACAATATATGGTATACGAGTATATAGACTTGATTTTCTTATTTACAACACCAGCCAAGTTTTAAACATGAAACGATGGCTACACTGAGAGTTTAATTATTTGCATAACAGGCAAGCACCAGCTGCTTTCTCGTCAAAGGATTCCACACAAGCACCAGTAACAGGGATCCCAAGCCCGCACAAAGAAGAAAGCGAGCCCAAACACCTGAAGCATTAATCGTAACTTTCCAAAGTAATCTCACATCGGCCGGTTTTCACCAACACAAGGCTTTATTTTGAGAAAAGTTCCGCTCCCCGACCAAAGTTTGGGCCTGTCACCAGCATGTGCTCACTTCACGTTCGTGCGCGGCTTCAGAGCCCCGGAGGCTGCACCTCAGCCCCTAGCACAGCTTTTGTTCCCCTCCGCGACGGAGGATTTCCAGGGGCCCCTGGGAAGAGCCCCCCGGGACGCGCAGGTGCTGCTCCACTACCCCGTGGGGCCGGTGACCTCGAGGCGAGCCGGGGAGAAGTTCCTGTCTCTTATACACCAGCCGTGGAATGTATGTGACCTACGGGTGAAGCCTCCCGGCTGCTGCCGCACAGGTTCCCTCTTGCTCGTGGCCGGAGCTGTGCCGACTGCTGGAGGTGGATGCAGATCTAACATCTATGTAATTCCCTTTCCTTAAGCTTTCCAGAGACTCACGGATGGCTCACTTGAGCTTCTCTAGAACATGGAAATAACACAGTTACACACCTAAGCTGCCAAAATTGAACACTGCTCTCTCTTTTGATAAGTAGGAAACTGAGCAACCACACACATGTTTAGTGGCCCTTGGCACCCTTAACAGTCCATGTTGCAGGTGTTTACATGAGCACAGACTGCAATGGACTTGGTCTCTGCAGTGGAAATACCTCCTACAATAGCAACAGTTTGGATAGACATGTGATTTAATCGAGAGCCCCAGAGTGGGACCACGTGGGACCATCAGCTGTGAGACCTAAGGAAGGGGGAGAGTCTGGACCATCACCATAGTGATGGTTCCAGCTATGAGCCAAACATAGTTCACTGCAGAGCCTGTGGTTTAGGGACAAGACTTGAAGGCCAGGACCTGCCAAATTAACTGCTGGTATTTGGGCACTGCAGCCTCAACTTATTAAAAAGCATACTGTAATTTTTCTGTAACAGCTCACATGCAAGATAACATCAGTAAAGGCCTGCCACAGCATAGTAGTGTTGTAATACACCATGACATAAAGAACTAGAAGACTCCAGAAAAAACGACACATTTTTAGACACAAAATGACACATGCAGCACCCAGCACCAGCCACAGGGTCAAGGTGATCCCTTACTATAATTAACAGGAAGCTCATTACATTGCATTATAGCCACTGGGATTTTTTGGTGAAGTCAGAGGGTGAATATTCAATGAAAGAACTGACTTTTGGGCACAATCTGGATTCCCCAACTTTGATGAGATGCCCCACTGGTGCCAGCCAGGAGGTTTGATTGAACAGGGGGGAAGGAAACAACCCACTGGCATCTGCCTAGGTTGAAGAAAGAAGTATGTGTGCATGCATTTAAAGCTGTTCAACACCAAGCACATGGCAAGCACTTCCATAACAATACACTACTCCTGGACTTGCAGGTGGAGAAGATAAAAACAATCCCACTGTATAGGTTTTTTTTAAAACAAGTGCATCTGCTTGCACAAAGGTCCCATCTTGTTTGGTGTTGGCAGACAGTTCCCTTCACTTTATCCTGTATTTTCACATAAAAGATTTTTATTTTATGCTGTAAATATCATTAAGTGGCATTATTCAGCTCGGCACGGTCTCAGGCTCAGCCCCTGTCCATTTTAGAGAGTGCACTGTGCTGCAGAAGTTGCTGGTTGTGTTACACTAAGTGCCTGATAGTGCTGTGAGAGCAAGCCACAGCTCCTCTCCTGCTTATGACGGACGCCTTTCACAAGTTAAATCTCTTGGATGTTTGATAAGTGAGAAATACTGTGGGACTTGCCCTCATCTTTATTCCTCTTTTAAGTTTTGTGTTCATATTCACAACATTGTTGAAAGAAAAATCAGAAAATGGGGAAAAGCAAGTGAGGGGGCAGGGAAGGCAGAAACTGCCCAAATAAGGTAGGCTTGAATTGTCCATAACAAATTTGCCAGTCATATTAAAAATGACAATTACATATACTACATCAGAATTACATGAGTGTTTCTGCATCAGCACAGAGCCTTCTGAGGAGTGGCTGTGAATGCAATTTTACTGTTGAAGGAATGAGCATAGGATAGCACAAATTTCCATTAAGGACTGCACTGACACATTTAAATTGCAGTGCTGTTCTGAAAAGGAGCAGACAAAATCAAAACTAAGCTCTCAGTAAACATAAGATCATAAGATTTGCAAGGATTGTTGTTGAACCTAGTCACAAGTTGCCACTGGAAGAGTTTAATGCTGGTAGGAGGAGAAAGGTGATTTGGTAGAAGTGAGTTTTTTGGAGGAGCAAGTTAATCTGTCACAACTTGCAGTAGGCTACAAGCAGGCAGTGCAGACAGGCCGAGCAGGACAGGCAAGTAGTGCAGGGTAGGCAGGCAGGGCAGGGCAGGCAAGGCAAGAGGGCAGGTATGGCAGGTCAGGCTAGGTAGGTATGCAGGATGGAGGTGGGGGTGAAGGGGGCAGGCAGGGAAATCCTCTGGATCCTCTGACTCCTTTTGGGCAACTCACTCAATTGCTTGCCATCTCCAGCCATCCTGGCTTGCCTCACTTGCTTTTCTCAAACAGTTCTACTAAACAGGAGGGTTCTGAGAATGCCTTTGTTCTACGGGAACAGTCTTGAAAGAATGGTGGGAAGCCAGCTATGCAACAAAGCCAATTGAACTGAAAAGACTGCAGATGTCTATTCACATTAATTTGAAAAATGTATTTTTTCACTCAGCGCAGTTATTCTTCTTGCTTCAACCTTGTTATTTGGTGATATCTCCTGTTTGCTAGGATAACCAGGACCCTTACACTTGTCCACTATCATGGTCCTCCCAGAACCAGCTTGGCTTGCTCTCATGGTGGTATCACACCCCACATGCTGTGTGGCAGATCCTTGGGGCTTCTTTTTACATAACAGTGCAAATTGTTTGTAACAGTGAAGATAATTATCTGCTTGGCTATGGCTATGGTGCATAACCTGCTGTATTTACTGATTAGATTAGGTATCTTCCTAAAGGTTCTGGTACAACCTCACAAGACAGCTCTGTGGTTGGGGAAGTATCTTGGCTTGTGCAATGCATGAGGGCTGGGGTTAAATCAGAAGAGATTTTCATAATGTTCCCTTTTGATCTGTCAGCAGATTAGAGAATGGCTTTCATTAGACATGTTCAAGAACAGGTTAGACCACCATCTGCCACTGATGCTATCGACATTGCTGAACTTGCCTTAGTGTAGATGATCTCTTCCAGGCCTGTATTTCTATGGCAACTTAGGCGTTTTCATATCTTTCTGAAGAATGGTTCAATTATTGTTTGAACTCTAAGGCACAAAGACATACGTCTTGTCTGATTTCACAGCTGAGCTATGTGCCCAGAGCTACAGCAAGTATGTGGCGAGTCTGCAAAGTCAGGGATTCACTAATGAGAGTCTTATTTTTCACTGAAAGTGTTATGGTTTATTCCTTTACCTGGACACCTCCCTACTTGTGCACCCAATAGTTTGCACACCCAGGTTGCCTCAGCCTGCAGTCAGAAGTGTGGGACTTTTGCTGGGAACTTGTGAGAAAACCAGCCCAACAGGTCTCTATTATCTCTTATAAAAGAAAAACATTATGCCTTAAATTTATTAAGCAGCTAAAAAAAAATTTTTGAGAGTCCTTGATGAAGATTGAAGATCCTTGGTTGGATGGTCACACTCAGAGAGTTGTGGTCAGTGGCTCAATGTCCAAGTGGAGAGCAGTGACAAGTGGCGTCCTCAGGGGTTGCTGTTCGGACCGGCGCTGTTTAACATCTTTTCTGGGGACACGGACAGTGGGATCGAGGCACCCTCAGCAAGTTCAACAACGACACCGAGCTGTGTGGTGTGGTCACACGCTGGAGGGAAGGGATGTGCCATCCAGAGGGACCTGGACAGGCTGGAGAGGTGGGACTGTACAAACCTCCTGAAGGTCAACAAGGCCAAGTGCAAGGCCCATGGGTTGGGGCAATCCCAATCACAAATACAGGCTGGGCAAGGAGTGGATTGAGAGCAGCCCCAAGGAGAAGGACTTGGGGGTATCAGTCGATGGAAAACAGACTATGAGCCAGCAAAGTGCGCTCACAGCCCAGAAAGCCAACGGTAACCTGGGCTGCATCAAGAGCAGTGTGGCCAGCAGGTACAGGGAGGGGATTCTCCTCCTCTGCTCTGCTCTTGTGAGACCCCACCTGCACTGCTGTGACCAACCCTGGGGCCCTCAACATCTTAAGGACACGGACCTGCTCAAGTGGGTCCAGAGGAGGCCACGAAGATGATCAGGGGCTGGAGCACCTCCCCTGTGAGGACAGGCTGAGAGAGTTGGGGGGTTCAGCTGGAGAAGAGAAGGCTCCAGGGAGACCTTAGAGCGGCCTCCCAGTGCTGAAAGGGGCTACAGGAAAGGGGGGAGGGACTCTTGATCAGGGGGTGTAGGGATAGGATAGTAACTGTTTTAAACTGAGGGAGGGTAGATTTACATGTAAGGAAGAAACTGCAGTTTCATAGGAGTTTTAATGTGTCAAAAAAAGAGGAGGCAGATGGAATTATGCAGCTCCTTTTTCATTAACACCAAGCGAAAGGTGGATAGAGGCACTTAAATATTTTGGCTGAACAACTGCAAAAAAGAATTTAAAGTCTATTATCAAGACAATCCTTACATCCATTGTAAAGATACAGGGCATCAACCATAAAACACCACTTTGCCATATCAATTTTTGTTTCTGCAGATAAAGCTGAAGTTGAAAAAAGCAAAAGAAGGTTGCGGTTTTAAGGCAATCTGTAGTTTTTGTCTCACTTCTCCCATGGCTTGTGATTTGTCAGCCTGCATCTCAAACTACTGCTGCGTACTGTTTTTTTGACTACACCAACCACCTTGGACCCTGGCACCAGTTGAATTGGGCATTAAATGGCCGTATCAACCAGATCTTTACATCTGTCTTACCTTTCTGTTTGATGCTGGATCCCAGTGAGGGATCAAAATCTGCAATTATGCTGAAATATTCAGCTCTGGTGACTACTGCACACAGTAGAGCATTTATCTGCCGTGGCTGTAATGAGAGGAAAACACTTCTAGGGCTAATGTAGTCTCGTAGCCCATTAAATAGAGTACTATCACTGCTAGTGACAGGCCACAGGCTTTATGCTGATTTTGTAAGGCCTCAGGACTGAGGCTTATCAGGATTGTTTTGTCTGAATTTGCCTTAACCTGCCTCAAGCTGTTCTGTTGTTTGTTTAGTTGTGAAAGCTAGGAAATTCAGGTGTAATTGTACGATTTGAAGGCAAATAAAGAAAAACATGATGTAAAGTTGGCAGCAAACATAAAAATGCTCCTAAGCAGACAAAAAATGAGGAAAACGAAACCACCATCAACATCATGCTCATCCTAGAGAATGACCTGGGATGCTGACAGCTGGCATTTCCTCACTATTCGCATTTTAGCCACTGACTGTTAGACGGACAGCATCAGTGCAAGTGTGAACATAACATTAAAAAAAAAAAGGTGGATAGTAGGAAATGTGCATATATTGTTTTTTTTCTTGTAGTAGCATAGCAGTAGTCTGTTTTCTCCTCTTGACTCTCCTCTCTTGTAACTAGATCTAGACTAATAATAATTAACTGTTAAAATTTGTTACACTAACAATACATACATACAATAAATTTACATACAAGGTGTGTCTCCTTTTTGCTCATAACAAGTTTTTGAGTGTAACAGTAGTTCAACTGGAAGTGACCAGTCAGACATGACAGTGGTGCAGAAGTGATATGCTGGCAACGACACTACTAGGTGGGACCCCAGCAACGTGTCCAAGTGTTGCTGTCACTCTGAAAACTCACCTCCTCTACTGCAAATGCTGGGCAGCAAACTGGTTTTATATCAGTGGGTTAACTAGTGAGAACACCCATAACAGGGCACAATCCTGTGGATCTTGCAGATCTAATGAAATAATCCTGTTGACATCCTTGGTCATGTGCCTTTCTCATGTTCCTGTTTTCTGGCAAGGCTTTGCAGATACTTCTGTTCTCTTAATTTTTATTTAGAAGGACAGATACACGTTTTGCCAAAGATAATAGTCAAGCCCAGAACCTAGGAATGTATGTGGAGAAACCATAGTTGGAAAGTTTCGATGGCTAATTTAATTCATTCCTAAATAATATGGAAAATGGACTTCCTTGGTTCTCAGGTATTGAAATCCACATCTAAATGGAAACAGTGACTCTACAATAGGAGAGGCTTGCAAGAGCAAAGTCAGGGTAGTTCCAGAATGATGCAATGTAAAAAGGGGTCATTCGTGGAATCAGCTGGTATAGTTAAGAACCTGCCTATATGAATATTACAGTTAGTCACTGTGTTTAAAACATTTGCCTTGAGGGAGAAAGAAATGTCTATATTGCAAGATACTGTAAGGTGAACAAACTTAAATTACCTCAGTGTAATGTCTCCATGTAGACATAGCCTTAGAGCACACACTCTTTAGGCTTGACCTGGTTCAGTATAGGTCAAGCACATAATAAAAAATGGTAGGGGAATTCACACTGACACTGCTGTGAAGTCACCCCATACTTAGCAGTAAGAGGGATGCATCTTCCTGAAAAGCAGTATTAAACATGCCTCTTCAGAAATGCAAATTCTGTGCTTGCATCCTTTCAGTCCGTATTCAAGAAAGCATGCAGGCAGACAAGTAAATGTGTTGATTGTTATTCAGTTTAGTGTGCTCCAAATCCACTGTTGGTCTTCTATGCACATACAGAGCCATATGTAAATCTTATTAAAATGGCTGTATGTCCAAAATAGCTCTGCCAAAGTCAGTGTAGTTACTTCACATTTAATGGCAGAGAGGTTATCATTTCAGTTCATGCTATGCAAAAGCACAGAAAACATCCAAGCCTTATGAAGTCATCACTGTATAGAGAACTCTATGGAAAATTACTGGCAAATGTTAAAAAAGAAACATTGCTTAGAAAATGTTCAGCCGATGCACCGCCTAAGAAGAAACAGATAAGTGAAGTGTTTCAATAAATTATAGTGAAAAATTTGTTATACTGAATTAATTTCACATCTTTTTCATGTGTTTCTTTATAAACATTTTTACACAAAGTAAATAAATACAAAGGTAAAATGTTTTTGTTTGAATTCTACATGCTATCTGATAAATTTTTAATGTAAATGCTAAAAAAAATAACTGGTGAAACAGAGCATGATTTCACACACATTTTATAAAGACAATGTACCAAGAGGTATGCAACATACTGTATTCCATTCCACAATGCATACTGCTTGTTTAGCAAAGTGATGAAAACCTGCATCCCTTTGTGTCTGTTAATTAATCAGTTTCTGGTGACTGCAGGCAAACAATAAAAAGGCATTGGCAAGTTGGAGGCTATTTTAACCACACATACAAAATAGCTATGTAGTTGCATAGAATGGTAACACAGAAGTAAACATGGAAGTGAAACAATTTCAAATGTCATTCTGTTTTTACAAAGTGTCAAGTTCCCTAAAGTTGAATAAAAGAGAAGCCCACGTGAAAAGCAAAATGTCAACGCTGGTCTGACAACAGTGAAAGCAGTAAACCTGCTAATAAGACCAGGATAGCAAAAATCTGTAGTAAATCATGACTTAGCTTTCAGAAATGTCTATGCACGACCACGACCATTCAGTACAGTAACAGCACTTCAAAGTGTAAGTATGGAGTATGAAAATATCATACAAACAATGAAAAGCTGATGCCATCAATGCATTTGTAGTATCTTCCATCAATCTCTGCACTGCAGAATGCTGTAAGCAGCATTATCAAGGGGGATACTGAGAGCTACATACTGGAGCTGATGGGGGGGGAAGAAAAGGAACTCTGTCTTTTCAAAATAATATATGAATAAGTCCTGACAGTTAATGAGTTAAGCATAAACTTTCAACCAGTGTTCTGTGAACAGTAACATGACTTGAACTTTCTTGTCTGTTCAATTGTATGCATTCATCCCCTGCAAAGAGAGGTTATTTGGGAAAACAAAACTCCCAGAAGGTAAAAGAGAAGAATGAGGCAGATAATATCACACTATTATGAAGAAAACTATCCAAACCTAGTACTTAGAATGCCACTGCTGAGACAAGTGTGCTGGGAAGATGTAACTATAGATGTGAATTTCCAGTCTTAGTCATCCAGAGCTAGAAAACACTTTCACTGTAGAGACTTTTTTTCCCTTTGACATTTGTTTTTGAAATTTACTCAGGAAAACATATGGAATTTCTGTTCTCATCTGGAAAATTTATTTTTTGTTTAGACTAATTCCTAAAAGCTGTTCCTTGTTCCTCATATGTCATCATAATGAAATTCCAAAATGAAACATGGAATTTGTTACAGTAGATTTGCTTCAAACACAAACTGGCTACATTTTGATCTCACCCAGTCAGAAGACCTTTCCTGTTTTATTTTCCCTTACAGACATTTAAAAAAAGCCAGATTTTTGCTCTACATGGACCTCTATTGTAATCCCCATTTATACAAAACACTAATGCAGATCTTGGATTCATATTATTAAAATCTCTGTATACTTAATATACTTAAAATCTCCCTAAACATTTTGAAACAATGATCATTGCTTCTCAACGGTGTAAGGCTGTCAGCATGCTTTGGGGTGGGGACAGATATGATCCTGAAAGCAAGATTATGCCACTAACGTTCAAGGACAGGTCAAGAATATGTCTACACATGGCTTTCTGGGTCAGGTTTCTCCAAACACATCTGTGTTTTGCCACTCAGACCTATTTTATTGGATGAAAACTGCTATGTTGTGCCTTTCTGAAAGGAGATAAGAAGCATGCATGAAATCAGGAGTAAAAGAGGGGACTGCGTATTTTTTCTTTGCCTCCAACAATTTGATCCAAAAAACACAATGGCCACAAATAAACCAGCTGCATAAGTAAGGATAAAAACTAAGGCTGGTTAAAAATTTGTTCCATTTAAGAAGTTTTGTGATAAAAAAGAAGAAAACCATTTTCTAAATTATTGCGTGATAATCCCATCCCTATTTTATAAAGAGCTTGTCAGTAAATGAGCTTATGAGGAAGGTCAAAATGGAACAAAGAAAGATTTATACTGTTGGCATCTGTGGACTGTGCCTATTTTTTATCTGCCCCTGAGAGAACATCTTCCTTTCACCTGACCCAGCAAGCATTCGCTTAAGAACAGAACATATATCTATTAAGTTTAAAATTAAAAGAAAGAAATATATACAAAATCCTTCTTTACAAATTAATTTTAAAATCCATAATTTGTTCAATTAGTCATGCTGCTTTCCTGACTGTTGATAAAACAGGAGCCGAGCCATTAGCCACTTCAACATTCAGTTTCTGTGGATGCATTTTCTTGCCTAGCTTTCTGTTCTTCTGTTGCACTGCCAAATGCTACCACTAAATTAGTTACACTGCTGGCATGTCCTGGTCTATTTAATTTGTCCTTTACAGACTTGGCTTTCCGAGAATGGCTGTGCAAACTCTTTGAGCGTACTGATGGGAACCCAGAAGTCCTTTCTGGCTTTACTGATAGGAAATTCTCTTTCTCAGCCTTGACAGTGGCAGGCATAGAGGTGTAAGAGGCACTCATACCTGCTTCATCAACATCGCTGTCATCATCTGTGTCCATCTGTAACTGCTTCTGCTCTGCTTCCCTTTCTGCTTCAGAGATAAAACCAGGGTATTCTGGAGGACGTTCTTGAGAAAGTTGCTGCTCAACTTCATATTTCCACTCTGTGGCCCACTGTTCAATTGTAGAAGGGCACACCTGATCCATGATGGTACTATACTCTGTGGTCCAGTTGTTAACTCCTCCAACCAGCTTCCCACCCTGTGCAAATATAAAGCTCCTAGACTTCATCATAGTGGTTTGACAAGCACTGAATGTTTCAGGAGGAAAATAGCGCATTGCTTTAGATTTGTCCAAGGGATAAGAGATGGTTGCTTCTAACTTGGTACGTTCTACTTTTAATTGAGTGTTCTGAAAAGCTGATCTTGGTACTGACTGTCTGTTTGTAACAGCATCCCTCTGCTTTATACTTCGAGGAAGCACTCCATCACTCTTGAAAATCCCCTGGTTTTCATCCCCAAAACCACCCGAACCAGAATGGGGTCTGGAAACATCCTGTGCAATTTCTAATGTAGATTTACTGTAATCTGCTGTACTAGCACTAGATGTATAATGGAGACTGGTGTGGTGTTCTGGAACCAGCATCCTTGGGTCTGCTCCATCTTCTTTGGTACCAAGAGAATGGGCTTTTTTACGCAGTCCTATGGCTGGTGACATAGGAGCGGTACTGTCATCATAAGTTAACTCATCGCCTCCAACGTGGTATCTGTACATGCTGTAGCCATCAGAGCTGCTAACACTGCTCTGCCTTAGGAGATATGCAGCATCACACTCAGATGAAGCCCGTGAACGTGGATATGTCAGCTCAGATTTGTCAATACCTGCCAGCTTCTCAAGAGCATTTACCATTCGACCAGATATTTCTTCCAGTTGAGAGAGTCGAAGGTCGACTGTTTGAAGAGAAGCTTTCATAAAATGTTCTCTTTCATTCACTTCCTCTAGCCTCATAGACATATTTTCAACTCTGTTGGGTATAAAAGAGGAAGCATAGAACAGAAGCTGTGGAATGGTGCAGTAATCCATTATAGACACCCAGCCACCCATTTCTTTGTAAGGCAGAATTTTGTGCTATCTATCATGCATCGTTCTTTTTTCCTACGTGTAGCATCAAAAGCATGTGCATTTCTTGTAATCTGTGCTTTCCATATACCATTTGCCCTTATTTACATTCCAGGAGAGTACAAGCATTGCAGTCCTCGGGGACAGCCTACTATTAACATTTCTGAGTGTGCCACCCACTTCATGTTCAGTTGTCCTCTTTCACTGCAAAGCATCAATTAATTATATGAAAAATACTTTCTAATCACATGCTTACAGGATGACTTAAAATAACATCAAGGCATATTATCAAACAGGTTTTACAGCTGCATGAGAAAGAACATACACTGGTGTGTATGGGATTACTTCAGCTCTTGAAATAGCTTTCAATTGTGTATCAGCTGAAGGGAGGGGAATTATTGTCCAGTTCAATTAAAATAATACTTTTTCCCATTTTCTTTTATCATTTATATCATAATGGAAGTGGTGGTAACAGAAGAATGCATATAAAACTAATGCATTAGAATGTGACTTCGAGATCATACACTAGTAAATCAACTGTGGAAATTAAATTAACATTCTTTTGCTCTCAAACACAAAAGATGACGAAGCATCTGGAGCAAGAAGCCATGAGAAATAAGCAAATCTGCTTTGTGGCCATAGACTATAGTGAATCAGTGAGGCTTACCAGCCCTGCTTTATTCTCTGCCACAATACCTAGGATTTTGACAAATTGCCATGGATAAATAGTGTGATAGAAACTACTCAAATATATGTAGCATACTTCATTTACTCCTCCTTTCTTAAACTTCACATATAATAATGTAAGATGTTCAGGGCCTCCCTTCAAGAGAAAAATGTTTATCCATTAAAGAATTATATACCTCACAAAGCTACTTCATAAGAAATGTTAAAAGGAAGATGATAGATAGATAGATAGATAGATAGATAGATAGATAGATAGATAGATAGATAGATAGATAGATAGATATGGAGTAGTTCATTATCAGAATACTGTGAGGTAGATTAAAGGCAAAAGAGTGTTTAAAATGTGTATCATTTTCATTACAGGGAGAGTTTTTCGTCATTTCAAGGAAGTGACAAAAGACTCCATCCTTTGACTTACTACTAACAGAATAGGCAGAGCCTTTGGGAACAGTCCTGCCAAGTGACCCGATAAAAAAAGTGCTGCTGCCCTTATCACTGTGTGCTCACACAGCAATATACAAACATTACCTAGTCCTCAGAATAGCTTAATGAT